AGCGTATAAGCTTTTTCGTTGTACAAATTCTCTCTAAAGTTCTTGCAATCCAGCTCAAAAATTATGCCTGGATCTTGGTGACTATAATCAGCTTTTTCTGGGAGGGCAGGAACTTTTGGATGGAAGTTTGGTTGCTAATGAAGTTGTAGATAGTTGGCTCAAACCAGAAATTTGGGCTGTGTTTAGCTGATTCGAAAAGGCTTCGACTCGGTCAATTGGGATTTCTTTCTCAATGTTATCAAAACTTTGGGTCTTGGGTCCTAAATGGATATCCTGATCCAATGGAATGTGTTTCTAACTTCTAGAATTTTCAATCCTCGTTAACGCTTCTCCAACTAAGGGATATTAACTCAGAAAGGTTTAGAACAAGAATCCTTTATCCCTTTCTTTTATTATGGTTTTAATCTCTTACTATCCTACTCCTTCGAGCTTAGGATGATTTGCTCAGGTCGTCATGGAAAAATCCAAGTTCAGCTTCTCATCTCAATTGCAAATGTCTCTCTTCTATCTGTGAAGCGAACGTTATCGGATAGTCCACTTTGAAAAGATTTAATGGCTTTGAGTAGTGTCAGGTCCTCAAATCAAACTTATCATAAGATCGCGTGTTGCGGGTTGGTATCCTAGTAATATCTAAGGGAGTTGCATCTTGTTGAATTCAAGACTCAAGTTTACCACTCAGATCTTGGGATTGCGTTTGAGTGTAATCCCAAAAGAAAAGGATGTTAAACAGAATGTAGATAAATTCAAATTGAGGCTTGCAGTGAGAATGACCGTGTTTCTCTCCCATTGCCGGGAGGTTACTCGTGTGAATGTTGTCAAGCTTGCCTGTATTTCTATCTCTGTTTATAGCTACGTGAAGCGTACCAAGGAGTTAGATAAATAGTTCAAGCTTTTTTGGGGTGCCCAGATTAAAGGGAAATACATCTTGTTATAGAGTTGAGTAACAAAGAGAAAAGAAAGAGATGTGCATCAAAGAATAAGGGATGTGAATGTATGTTTACTATACTCAAATGTGGTGAAAATTGCCTACGATTCATGATTTCCACTATGTGAAGAGTGTCGTATGTCAAATATAGGTTCTAGGGGTCTTGCTTCCAAACCTTTGTTCCAACTTCATCATGCTGAATATCTGGCGTGCAAAAAAAAAAAGTGAGCACAAAGCATGAGCTCTCCTATTGTTCTATATTAGTATCTTTTCTAAAAGTGGAATGCTGTCGTATTAGTTTTGGTATGATCAATGGTGTGTGGGTATTTGCCTCAAGATATCATTCCCAGACTTTTTAATGTCCAATAGTAGGAGGGTCTGCTCAAGAATTTGTGTCACATCTCTTCCATTTTGGCTATTTACCTTAGAGCCCTTCTTCGAATGGGAAAAGTATGAACTACCAGCAGGCTTAATCACCATAGCCTCCCCCTACCTTGAATTTGGAGTTGCTGACCAGAGTTTGTTGTAGGCGCCTTCACCTAGGAAGTCTTTCGTTTCACTCTTTACAATCATTCTAATCTTGCCTTGGAGAATTGTTCACTTTAGTGTATTGGTTTGCTCACT